GTAGGGAACAGCTGCTAGCTTAACCGAGCTGCTCCTCACAGCGTCTTCACTAATGGGACAGATATTAATGTTTGGTTTTGGCAGAAGTTTACAGTTCCATTACCAGGATAAGCTGCAGGAACAGCTATTTCACTTGAATTTTTTTGGATCCCTGTTGTTTTTTTGTCGACTGGATTAAGATAACGTGGAGCTGTGCAAAACACTCCATCACAAGATCGAGATCAGAGAGTTTGTAGAGGAAAAGAGCTGTATTAGGGTAGTGCCCCAATATTGATACTGTGCTCCACATGAGCGAGGATAGAAACAGGTTTGCATGAGTTAGCAAAGTTTTTAATTTCAGTGAATGTTCTGCCGCTGTTTTTCTTTGATAATGATTTGGGTAACTCTACTGTAGACTAACAATTAACTTCTGTTTACATAACAAGCTTGTATTTGATTGCACCTCTGATAACTAGTTATTTTTTTATTATAAGCGTTTCTGCTTTCATGAGCTGACATGGTATAAGCTGCTTTGCGAGGTCCTTGTAGCTTTGGTCACTGAAAGGAAGCATCAGCATCATTAGACCGTGCACCTGATTATTATTTTTTTTTCCTGTTGTTAAGATTTTTCAGTAACTTTGTTTTTTTAAAATGTAGTATCTAAGATTTTGCTACTTTTATCTGCGTTCTAAAAGTAGAAACTTCCTTCTGTGCTGAGGGATTCTAGGGCAGGCCTGTGAAGGAGAAGCTCACTTCATCAGGAGGTAGGCTGTCATTAGGAGGAAGGTTCAGCTGTTACAGGTAACCAGTCCAGACTGTTGTGAAATTCATAAGGCTGCTGAGTATCGTAGCTCGTCTTTATTGACCACATTAATAGAACTGTGATACATTTCTTGCTATAAAAGGGTCTTACTGTCCTTTTCTTAATTTTCATATGTTACTTTATTTTGCTTGCAGCCGCACGGAGAAATGTTGGGAAGAATACTGAAATTCTGAGTTTAGAACAGATGGAAGGGTGGACCTTCCCCCTCTCAGATAACGATATGCAGTTTATCTGGGAGGAAGATTTCAGTTATTTGGTGTGTTTTTTATAAAAGTGAACTTACTGATATTCTTGGGAGGTAAATCTTCAAATGATTGTTTAACATTAGGAGACACCGAAACACAAACTTTAGTGTAGTATTAAAAGAAAATAGCGTGGCGGCAGGTTGAGGACTTTTGATCCGAGGTGGTTTGTGACAGCCCTGCCGAGCTGGCTGGGCCGTGCTCTGCTGTCTGGGCGCTCAGCAGGGCTGGGCTGTTTGTTGCTGATGGAGCCAGCTCCTGCCCTGCTCCTTGCCCTGTGACTGTACCTGGGGCTGTGCTGGGTGGGGATTTAAGGCTGTGGCACATTTGGTGATAGGAAGCTGCTCCATGTGGCCTCTGCGGTCTCAGATCATGTGTCACGTTCCCCAGGCCGTAGGCAGCCTTGGCAATGAAAGAAGGAAGAAAAAAAATAATTTTTTATAGTCTTTTTATGTTTTCCCTGACTCTTGGATTACATTCTAGTGGTAAGGGTAATGCAAATATTGAATAACTTACTGTTTGCATTGTACTGTTGTCCAGTAAAATGTAAATGCAGTTGCAACACTTGTTTTCCATCCATTTTGTGCTTAATCTGACCTTGCATTTCTATCGACGATGCAGTGTTTGCAATGTGGGATAAGCTACCTTGTGTTAAGATGATGCCCTTAAGCTCCTTCAGTAACGCAGGAAAATGTATGAATTGATGTCAACATATTTTTCCTATCGTTTTTGTGTGAGGTGTAATACAAAGGTGTTTTTTTTCAAAACTAATAAAGGTTTTATGGCATTTTATCTGGACAGGAGGGGAAAGCAGACAGATGCTTGTGAGTGCCCCATGGCTGCAGCTGCCTCAGTTCATTCATTTACTGCCTATTGTAATTTGGAAGCATTCTTTAGGTAAGAAAGCTGCTTCAAAATGTGTCACGTGGTTACTAAACTTAACACACTGTGTGTTGAGTCTTTAAATTGCATCTCTCAATTGTAATGTTATTTATGGATTCTGTCTGCTCACTTCACAGGAGAACATGTAGTACTTGTAGACTGTCTGTGCAATATGAGGCCACCATAAATTACAAACTTCCTCAGGTGCCATGTTCCAACAGAGTTACTACTGTGCATCAACTTGCTAATTATAGACAGGCATGGCTGTGCAGCTCTTAAGTTTTCTGATGTGTGAGCTGAGCAACAGCATTACTTGCACAGATTTCAGTTCCTGAGTTTAATTTTGCTTGGGAGATGGGGGCTGCTTTTCCTGGTGTGCTCATAATTAACGTGTACTACAACTGTGCTAAAACTTTACAATAATAAAGCTGATATTAACTGGGTGGTTTTTCGGAAAATGATGGTATGACCTGGGAGAACCTAAAGCCTCGTGTCTCCCATCTTGTAAGGAAAAATAAAGTTCAGCCCTAGAAGGTTTCTGAAGATGATGTTACTGGTTGAATGTGATACTTTGTAAACATCTTCAGTTTCCAAATCTACTTTTTAATTTCAAATGTCTTGATTTAATGTGTTGCTGTTCCTGTAGCTTTCTGTTAAACTGTCTTGAAGTATTGTGAAGCGTGTAACTGAATTTGGAGGTTTTGGGTATACCTTCTTATAGCAGACCAAGAGTCTGTTTTTTTATATTAGTATATGGGAGGATATTCATACGTCATTGGTATTTTTTTTTTTTCCAGAAAGAGTTTAATTAGCCAGAAATAGCTTGTTTACTGTCAAGATTATTGTGATGCAGTAGGATACTTTTGGAGTTACGGTGACTGAACTTTAAGCAGAGTCCTAAACTTTAAAATATTAGAAGCCATACCTTTAACTATTTTGATTCATGTGGTTTTGGTATATCATAAGCTGAAAAAAAAATAACATTTCTTATCCAGGTTTGTGATTTCTTTGGGTAGTGTTCAAGTATCCCAAGGCATACCTGTGTTGCATAAGAGCACTGATGTGACTAAAATTACAGATAGTGCAAAAGCTAGATTTATGCCAACACTTACACCTTCCCTTTAGTTCAACAGTAGTTTTCAGATAATGTGGGGTAAAACAAATTTGCTTGTCACATTCCATTGTTCTACTTCCACATCTGCCCTACAGCGCAGAGTGTACTATTTATCTCAGTCTTTGTTCCAAACCTGAGTTTAGTCCCTCCTGTGGGTGTCCCAAACCTTGCAGAACAGTTTTTCTTTGGTCGGTGGCTTCGCAGGTCAGTTCATCTTCTGGGACCCATCCCTGCCTTCTGGTTAAGGAATCCATGCACACAGACAGGATGACTCAACAGTGGGATGGATGTTCAGATACCAGAAAGGTGCTGGTAACTTGACAGGAACTTCCACATTCTTTGGAGGTATGTGTGCACGTAAACCTCTCATTGAATACTACCTGGATTATGTCACATGGAACTATAATTTAGTTAACTTCAGTTGTGTTCTAAAGCATATACTGTTCGTTGCTTAAGCATTCACGTTTTCACAGTAAATATTAGGGCTTCATGTCTGGTGAAAACTTTATTACGTAACCAACAGAACCTTTTTCTGGCTTTGAATCCGTCAGTGAGTAGTATAATGTAATTTTTGCTAGATTTAAAATACTTTGATATAAAATACTAAAAATAGAAATTCTAGAGGTAACAGTTGAAAGAGTTGTAGCAACAAGAACAAATTATGGCCACTTCGATCAGCAAGAGCTTGGCTACTGTGTACCCCGTGCATACCTCGTTATGTCTCTTGATACTTCTGGACTGGATGTGCTGCAGCTGGTCCATAGCTTGGCCTGTGGTTTAGGGGAATGCCCCTGCTGATAGTTCTCAGATGCCAAAGCTTCTTTGTGGGAGTCAGAACCGCACATGTGAAGCTCAGGTTTCAAATAATAAAGTGAAAATTTCCATTTTTGTCAGAAACTTACCTTTTACTGAGATGTTGCAGGTTTGCCCAAGAAGAGCAAAACCATAGAGAAGCTTCTCTGACATCAGCATTTGTTGAATTTCATTTTTTTTGTTCTGGACTTCAGTTTTAGGAAACAGCTGAATTTGTAATTCCTCCCAAGTAGGGGGTTAAAAAAAAAAGCAGGTATTCAACTCAGAAAGTGTTTAGCCTTTGCTAAATTTAGCAAGGCTGTGAGCAACTGGACGAGAGGGTTATTTAATGGTTAATTACTACATCCACACAGAATGCTTGGGAATGCCCATTCATTATGTGACTTAAAACACTTAAAACATGGTCGTGTGGAAAATAAGTAGGTAGAATGGTCTAGAAGCAAAATACTCCTGCTGAGCTTGCATCTTTGCTACGTTAGTACTACTCAGTTTTGGAGCTTGTTCATCGTTCTCTTTGGCTAGCTGCCTCTACATGTTAATGGTAGGCACATGTGTCTATTCAGGGAAGAAAACCTGTTGTTAAACTCAATTTAAAGAGCCTTTCTAGCTTATCCTTCTGCATAGCTCACCTACCAGTATCATAAATGTAACTTAAAGACTTGAGTGAAGATTTCTGAAGACTGCTAGAATAAATTCTTCAGCGGTTGAGACGATTTGTCGTGAGGGCAAACAGTAGTGAAGCTGGTCATGTGAAGAGTTCTTGTTAATTGGCTAGATTGTTTTTCCCCACTTCTTAAAGAATGCACATGCTTTCTTTTCGTAGACATGTCGGGCACCTCCTCAGCTGCACGGGTGATGGTTTCATAAGGCTGGGGAAAATGCAAGCTAAGTTTTTGGTAGGATAGTCTATATTTTGCCAGCCGCTTCTAGATTTGGGTTCCACCCCCCCGTAATGAAGATACTGTCCAGAAAAAGCATGCTGTGAGAGTTGCTGTGCAAGGTTATTGGGTAAAAAAAATAATGTATTTTGTTTGAGAAGGCATTTGAAACAGTTAAGATAGTTGTTGAAAATTGACTGAGTGTCAGAATTCGAGTTAGAGAATTCTAGAATGGACTTGAGTAGATTTCACTGCTTCAGTGTGTGACAGCAGAGCTTTTCCTTACACTGCTCTGTTCTCTGATCTCTGGCTCATGTGGCAAATGTTCCTCAGTGAAGTGGATTCCTGCAGTTTGCTGTATTTCAGGGTCACTTTTCCTGCTGAAAAACATCAGGCAAGCCTTACTTGTTTTGATAAATGGCCACTGAAGTTTTTTGTTGTTAGTTGTACAAATATTTTTCCTTTGCCTGGCATGATTTAAAAAAAATAAAAATAAAAAAGCCACAAAGCAAAACAGTGAGGAAAGCACACAGCTTTTGAATATCTTCTGAAGATGTCTGTTCCAAGTTCATCAGTGTTTAAAAAGCGAGTTGATGAATTGGGTTCTGTAGGTGATGCCTACAGAAATTATTCTAGAAATCCGGAGTAGATTCCATGGTTTGTACGCTGAGTTTAAACTTAAGCATATACAATTTGCCAGTGCTTAACTGAATTGCTGTTAAATGATTTCTTTTTCTACAAAGTGCTTTGTATGCTGTTAAGTGCTAACACAGGAAACTACACTCAGTAAATTAACAAACCCAGGTTCTCCAGATTCAAGTTTTACAAAATAAAAGGTATCAAGAAAGAAGGTCCTTGCAAGCTTCTGTGCACTGGATGTTGACATACGGGCATACTTTTTTTTTTTTTTCCAGAGTCGTGTGCTCTATTTGAATTTTACTAACTTGGTATCTCTTACCAGGCTTCCCCTGCCTTCTCTCCTTTCCTCCCTTAATCTTCTGTACTTTTCTAGAGACCTACCATACGTGAGACCTTTCGGGATACGGTGCTGTTTGAATACATCGGATCATTCCAGTACCTGAGACTTTCACGATGAAGAGAGCTAGGCAGAAATTTGTTGCTGAAAATGAAGCTCCTCAAACATCACAGAAAAGCAAAAAGCAGAAAACTTGTCAATATGGCTCAGTGTTTGGTGAATCTGACTTGCACACCTCGATGGACTGGGGAAACCTTCCGCACCATGTTATTCTGCGTATTTTTCAGTTTCTACCTTTAGTAGATCGAGCCAGAGCATCTTCAGTTTGTCGAAGGTGGAATGACGTTTTTCACATCCCAGATCTCTGGAGGAGATTTGAATTTGAACTTAGCCAGCCAGCTACTTCTTATTTAAAGTCTACACATCCTGATCTCATTCAGCAGATTATCAAGAGGCATGCTGATCATCTGCAGTACGTCAGCTTCAAGGTACGTCTTGGATAAGTGAAGGCTTGTTCTGTCACGTTACTACCCGCAAAGTATGCAGCTTCTCTGTCAGTTGGCTCAAGTGTTGTGCCTGGGAAGTCTTATATTTAAAAATACAATTACAGCAACAGTTGATTTCCACACGTGCACACTGTTTCTTCTAATATCCACACTTTAATCTCTATGGAATAAAGAAGGAGCTAAAGTTGTGTGATACAGTGCTGAAGATTGAATGATATGGTTTCAGGATGTGCAGAATATGTAGTTTTTGTGAATTGGTGTCACTTTGGGTACTCAGCAGGTTATTGCACAGATGGATGTTTCTTACACGCGGAAGCATTTGAGGGAATAACTTTGCCTTGCGTGTATAATTTATTTGTGAAATAAGGCTGTACAATGAAGAATGTCTTGAAATTTCAGAGCTGTGCTTTGAAGCAGTAAGGCAGAACAATGCTGTGCCCGTATGTTCAGGTGATTGACACATAAGGACATAATTAAGCAACTGTAAACGTGGTTTAAATGCAGACTATATTTGTAGTCTCAGGATTGCATTAGCGTGGGCTGCTTTCATGTGAATACTTGATACAGTTTACTCTGTTTAGCTGAGAAGATTATAGTTGGAATTACAGGCGCTTTGTTCACTTTTTGGCAGTCGCTTCTTAGAGGTTGTAGTTCTAAACTGTGAGGGAAAAGCAGAAGAAAGGATTGATATTAAAGCTAGGATGAAAATCGGAAGCTTCTTTTTCTCAGCACTGGTAGCGGTTTTTTACATTTCGAGACATCGTGATCTGGTTGCACGGCAGGTCATGGATAATCAGTTATTAAATATCTGTAACTTCTGCACTTCATATAACTGATTGTAATGGATTGGCATTATAATGTCTTAATGCAACTTTTATGCTTTTTCAGCTACTCTTTTATCATCTCAGCTACTACAGAGGAGGAAGGTGAGACGAAATAGTGATTTGTCCAAAGTTAGTCATCAAGCTTAGAGATGAATTGAGAATCAGTTCATTATTCAAGGCGCAAAGGTGTTGTCCCTGCAGGTAAAATGGATTAGTTTGCTGGAGTGTATCTAGGCTTTATCAAGTCTTTTTTTTTCTGCTCTTAAGAGCTTAGATATTTTAAAATAAGTTGTATACATACCACTGTCTGTCCTAACGCCAATACTAATTACAGATGGTTAGGAAGGCACAAGGTTATTTGAAGAGAAGGCTTAGGTTTAAGCTCTCTGTTTGGGTTGGAAACACCCAGCAGTCATACTCAGGAAAATTTTCTAATAGTACCTTTCCTGAACTCTTTCTTCTCTTGAATTTTCTACTTGATGTTGCGCTTCGTCCTTGTGGTAAATGCTGCAGTACAGCTGAATGGGTGTGGAACTTGCAGTCTTGGATGTCCATGATACTGTTTTCACAATAATAATAAAAAATGATGTCATTGTTTTTAAATTGCTTTTGTAGGTTGATAGTAGCACTGAGTCAGCAGAAGCAGCCTGTAACATCCTTTCTCAGCTGGTGAACTGTTCCATCAAGACGCTGGGTTTGATTTCTACAGCAAAACCAAGCTTCATGAATGTCTCCAAGGTAAAGCTCAACAAACTGACTAGAATCCCCTAATTCACTCCTAAACCCTTTTAGTTTATTGTCTTGTTATTCAATTGATGGTAATTTTTATGAAACAGTCTGTATTTATTGGCATATTTTCTTTAATTTGTGATGTCTATTAGCATTAGGAAAATAGTTAAATATTGATTCCATTCATTAAATTTAGTTGTGTTGATACTTTGTTGCGGAGAGATGGGGAATAATTTAAAGGCTTGAGTTCCCTCATTTTTAGGCTAAAAGATGCTGCATAGTATTGTTAAAATATTTGGGGAATTATTTTCTTTGACTCCACAGGTCACAGCGGAATTACTTTCTGGAAAATAAAACAAACGCCATTTCCTTTTTTCAGCAGATAAGTTCTAGATACTTAGCACATGCCCCTGTTTTGTTACAGTGGAAAGATAAGTGGATGAGTTAACTGGTCAGTGTAAAGTTAATTTGTCATGTGCATTGAATCATTTTCAAACGAAGAGATTTCCTATATTCATATTCAAATGATCCTTTCTTTGTTACAGGAGAAAGGGAAGGCCTAAGAAGTGATTATTTTTATGCTTTTTGTGCTCAAAACCTGAGGTTTAGATGCTGAAGTTCTGCTTCTTTTTGTAAGACTTTTTTATTTTCCCTCCCCTCAGGCTCATTTTGCTTCAGCACTGACAGTAGTTTTTGTGAACTCCAAGTCATTATCATCAATCAAGATAGATGACACACCACTTGATGATCCTTCCTTGAAGGTTCTTGTTGCTAACAACAGCGATACTCTGAAACTGCTAAAAATGAGCAGCTGTCCTTATGTATCACCTGCTGGTGAGTAGAGAATACGTGTGAAAAATGAAGTATCTTGAAACACAAGACTTAGTTTGAAAGAAGTTATTCGTTAAACTTCTAGTGCTCTTCCAAGCCTCTTAGCAGAGGCTTTCCATTGACTTAGTCTTGGCTTTGGATAGTTGGAAGGGGAAGAAGAAGAATGTGTTGCTGAATGAATTGAATTAATGAAGGTGGAGGTGCTCCTGGCTTGGCTGCATCTTCTGGAACGCTGGGGATTTTATTTTTTTTTTACATTTTTCTCAGTTGCCTCAGTACCTCTGATAAGGCCTTGAGAAGGAAAAGCCTCCAAAATTAGTACAAGCCTTTAGCACATGTTCCAAGAACCTGATGTTCGTTGCCAGTTGTATGTAAATGTATAACGGGGGGTGCACTGCTTAGCCTGAGCAGCTTTGAACTGAACTGGCGTTCTGTGGGAACAGGCGTGCAAAACCCCCGACCTGTGAATCAGTTCCTCATTAGTGGGATAAAGGAGATGAAAGCATTTATTGATAACTCTTTTCTGCAAGGTGCTGGGAGTTTAACTTCCAGAGCAAAAAGGTTAATATTTCAAAGTTATATTAAAAAATAAAAATAGCATGGAGTGTGTACAAATTAAAAAAACTAGTAGTCTAAGTGAGTCTCAGTTTTTGTAGTGCCCTCATGTGTCCGGACCTGGTAGTATGAACCTGCTCATTCTTTGCATGGGTTGGTGAAGGGTTCGTTCAAAATACAGGCTTGCCAGAAAGTTCAGAGGGCTTTTGGGTCCCTTCTCACTTACCTTTCTTCTGAAACGCTCATGCTAGGGAACGGGAGTCCCAGCCTGATCTCCTTCCTGTTTTCTTTTCCAGAGTCCACATAAGGTGTTTAATCTGTGTACTTTGGGTTCCAACAGATTAAGAGCAGTTATGGTGTTTGTTAATTTTAATAAAACTAGGTTACTGCTAATCACTTAAACAGAATGCTTAAAGGAATGCTGAAGGAAGGAGCATTAGGGAGGAGAACAGCAGCAAATTCAGCTGAGTCATAGCTGATTTCATTTGCCTCTTCAAACTTGAGGAAAGGAAGAGCAAAGAGGGAGAAAGATACACAAATCCAAGATAAATGTGACTAGTTAGACTTCTTTCTTTTACTGATAAGTGTGACCAAAACACCATAAAAGGATGTGGATACCTAAGAACTTTATGATGTTTCATGATTTTCAGATATAATCATGAGTGCTCAAGCCAATAGAATTAATACTTGCTTGAGCTTTACAGGCAAACAACTGTGCTTATGTTCACTTTTCATTTTATAGAGTAATTTATTGTTTTTTGTACTTAGGAATTCTTTGTGTTGCTGACCAGTGTCACGGACTTAAGGAGCTGGCTTTGAACTACTACATATTAAGCGATGAATTGCTGCTGGCTCTTTCGAGTGAAAAACACGTCGACCTTGAACACCTTCGCATTGACGTTGTGAGTGAAAATCCTGGACAAGTTGAATTTCACACTATCAAAAAGCAAAGCTGGGACGCTCTCGTCAAACACTCCCCCAAAGTCAACATCGTGATGTATTTCTTCTTATACGAAGAAGAATTCGACACTTTCTTCAGAGAGGAAACCCCTGTTACGCATCTTTACTTTGGCCGCGCGGTGAGCAAGGCGATGTTGGGTCGTATCGGCATGAACTGCCCGAGGTTAATCGAGTTGGTCGTGTGTGCCAACGGACTTCAGCCTTTGGACGCCGAGCTGATACAGATCGCCGAGCGCTGCAAGAACTTGACGGCGATGGGACTTGGTGAATGTGAAGTGACTTGCAGAGGGTTCGTTGAGTTTGTAAAGATGTGTGGGGGCAGGCTTACCCAGCTTTCTATCATGGAGGAGGTGCTGATCCCAGATAACGATTATAGCTTAGACCGACTCCATCTGGAAGTCTCCAAACACCTCGGAAGAATGTGGTTTCCTGATATGATGCCAACGTGGTAAATTCTCTGCATTTGAGGTTAAAATGGTAGAATCAGGGTGTTGCTTTCTATGCAAATAAAGAATTTTAAAATTAAATGTGAAAACTTACTCGCAGATTTGAGTTTTGCTACCTTGAGAGCCTCTAGCAGCGTAACAGCAAAGCATTCTAGAATGTTAATGGTGTATTGAAATAAAAAATAGATTAAGTGTACTTAACACTTCTGGACTATGTCTGTGGTTTACAAGTGCTTTAAACTTTAGTGAACTCGGGTTTCTCTGAGCTTCAGTTTAAATATTCCGTTCACATTAAAGTTTTCTTTTTTCATGTCCTAGTTTGATCTTTCCAGTATAGTAAGAAGAGGACTAGAGAAACCTTTTTTTCCTCTAGCACATGTATATGGGAAACTGGATAAAACTTCAGTATTATTTGTCACAATGGTATATGCAGCTATTTTTTTGAATACTAATGTTATAAATGTAAAAGCTTGTACATTAGAAGACTTGGAGTTGCCCAGGTTACTCAGATATAATCTAGCTTCAGCTCATGCCTGTGTATCAAAATGTTGTGGTAAATAAGCAGATGCGTACAAAAAAACTTCCTGGTTTTAAATTGCACTTTTAAATAACTTGGTCAGATTAGCTGAACAGCAGAGACTGCATTGTACAGTATTTTGTTTTTTCTGATTTATGCATAAAAGGGATGGGAAAGAGACCTCACTAAAATTAATTAATTTAAAAGTTTGGATCTAGGTTGATTGCTTGGGTGAGTGACAAAGCACTTTGGAAACTGCCAGAGGATAAGGAAGAGCTCTTCCTTAGAAGAGATAAAGTCCTTCCTTAGAGATAAAGTCTTTGATTATGAAGATCAATGTCTGAATTCTATTCGTTGCTTTCGTTATTAAGAGATAAGGATCTCATAAATGTGGCTAGTGAGAAGGAAGGATAAAATGGAATACAGTTGTCTTTGATCACTTTTTATCTGGAATCAAGGATTTAGAGCACTTAGAAGTTATTTGCCAGTTAGAGGCCAAAATGGTCTGTAATAATATTGCCTATATCTCACAGGGCTCAAAGCCCCAATTTTTAGAGTAAAGTTTGCTGGAGATGATCCTGAAATTTTTAATTCAGGACCCTTTAATACTTATTGTTATTAATTGTTTTTTTGAGGAAGAAGACTTTATTTAATTCTTTGATTTTTTTTTTCAAGGGGAAAGGAATCACGAGTTAATGCCAATTTGAGTCTGTACTTTTGTGTTGACATTTTGCACGCTGTAAACTGAAATGCATCGTATATGAATTTCGCTGTAATTATTTTCACGCTGTAGTTATTCAATCTTCCCATTTATGGTGAAAGTCTGCATTTGATTTGCTGGTGCCATTTGTCCCGTCTAATAAAGTGTTGGTTTCTTCCACATTTCCACTTCTTTAGTGGGAAAATAACAGCTAAAGGGTTAAACCACCGTTTGTTCCTGTTCCCAGTCACAAGCTAAAGGATTTAAGCTGACACCTAAGCCAGTCTGAATCACTGACTCACTGACGTTGTCGCGGGGTTAAGAAGCATCTGACTGGTTAGGAGCACCTGGTACCCAAGCGCTTGCTTCCGTAGTCAAGGGGATTGTAATTCATTGTCTTCTTAATGAAGGACTGAATTATTTCTAAACAGGGTTTGTTTTCAAGATGTGTGGTTTGCTTTAAATAATAAAGTGATCTAAATACATGCACCGATATCAGACTCCTAACTGTTGCACCACGGCCCTCCTCTTGGGCAGGCTTCTCTCCTGGCAAACCTGGGGTGGGCGAGAGGTAGCAGAAACGTGTAACCCTTGGATTGTAGCGAATTAGTCAGTGTCATTTTGTGTTCGTGCCTCAAGGTTGAGGATTTTTGACCTGCCAAAGCTGTAAAATGGAGTGTGTACAAATCTTTTAGATGGGTGGTAAGTCCTAGGATCCTTAGCAGCCAATGTACTAGCGCTAGCGAAGTGTCGAACACTAATGGCTCTATACAGGACTGTAGTTCAGGAGGAAGCCGTTCAAATGCTTCTCTGAGTATTGTCACTTTTCTGCAGAGCCATGAAAGCTAGCTTGCTTCAAGCTTCTGCCAAAACAGGCCTGCTTTTATTAATGTTACAATTTTTGATTATTTATTTCTTTTTTTGTGCGTTAACTGTGCGCACTGGTCTTAACTAAGACCAACTGATAAACTTGAGTTTATAGCTAAATGCCAACAAAATCAATACATGAATCAGTGTGAACTACTGATTTCACTGGTAGTGTGGGAAGCGAGTTGTGATTGACGGGTGACTTTTGGCATTAGATTAATGTTGAATTTTATAGTTGGGGCGTTAGATTGGTTTGGTGGTACGTGTTGGTGCTTTGTCTTGTGCTTTGGGGAGGAGTGCCAGAACTCTGCTCTGTGTAAAGCAGCGTTAGTTCCTCTTTTCCTTTTCAAGTAGTTCTTCCTGAGCGACTGTGTTGGAGATCCTGTGCTGGGCCAGAACCTGCAGAAGGCAGATCCTCCGATCCCTCAAGCAGCCTGTACTTGCAGAGCTCTGCCTAAGGCAAGTTTTGCTGATTTTGTTGGCTTTTCCTAGTTTTGCTGCCTTGCAAAGGCTTTCTGAAACCCCATTTCTAAAGCATATAAGGCGATGCTGCAGTTGGGTAGAGTAGTTAGCGCCCTCAAAATGAAGTATAGAATTTACACCTGATGTACGTAGGAGATTTGTAGGGCCCCTAAAAAGTCCACGGTAGTGAGGAGCTGGTAGTAATGCACCTTTCCTGCCACATGAGGGGGTGACCTACTTGTCATGCTTACTGATTTATTTTTTTCAGACTCTGAGAACGCTTATAGTTAGCCGTTGCTAATTTCCCCGATTCTCTTGCAAATGCAAACTCCCACAAAAACCGACTTTTTTTTTTTCCTTGTGTGGAGTCGCTTTTGAAATTTGATAGAGGCACAGGCATGGCAACTCCAGATGGCATCCTTTGTGCCTTGTGGAGTGTCTCAATAAATTTCCCTTTAGTTTTCCTCAGTTCAAGTGCCTTCAAAATCTTGTCTTGTTTGCCAAGGTGTAGTAAAGTTTGTCAATTAGCCTAGGATATGATGTTCACCACAATTCTGGGTACTGAAACACCAGTACCTAGTCAGTACCGGGAACATGTATTAATGTTAACACCTTGGCACTTTATATAAAGCTCAAAGAATTGAATCAGTGGTAATATCGACTGTTATGCACGAGAAGGAAAAACAACTTTTGGATGCTGAGATGAGTTTATTTGGGATTTACTGCATTTCCATTTTACGCTCTTTCCCCTTTTCCCCTTTCGAGGTTGCTGGTAGGATCTGAGCGATCGCAGTTCTCGACGTGAATGTGAGAAGTGATCCCAGGAAATACTCTTTGCATTGGCAACATTTTCCCAAGGACTTGTCCCTTAGAAATTCTACCGTTGTATCGGATGGGATGGATGCAGAGTAGTTTTACACAGAAGCCTGGTGGAAAGAGGGAAAACATCAGGTGACTGATGAAGCATTTAGTTCTTCTGTGTTAACTCTGTTCCCGAAATTTTCTGTCTTGTCCTTTCTGCTGAGATAGCAGTAGTGGAAATACCAAAATAGCAAAGACACTTTGGTCATAAAAATTAGAGACAGCAGTTGGAGTTGTTGTCTTGGTGGAGGAGGGGAGATGGGAAGAAGAGAGAAGATGGGAATTCCTGCTTTAATAAAGAGCTTGAAGATACTCTACAGAGCTCAATTATTTGAATCTAGGAGGAAAAAGTTCTTCATGTGTATGGATAAAAGATGCAATGTTTTAAAACATAACCTTGCTTTACTTAGCTAATGCAAGGTCATACCTCCCATGTGACTTCAGGACAAATACTGAGTTAAAAATTACCTTCTCCCCTGATTAGGACTCCATCATCAATGGCATTTCCGTTATGGAAGAATTTAATGGGTCCAGAGAGCTGGCCAGAAAAGGGAGCGTACACGGTTGCTCCATCAGAACAGATGACATCCACGCCTACGTGCTTTCCTTTACCGTTGCGTCTGAAAGCAAATACAGAATTACAGGCCTAGCGCGATACGGAGAGAGACCAGTCAGCATGCTGCAAGACCTGGAAGTGGGTTGTTTGTATTGAGACGGTGTTGACATAGTTGACTGGCTGAAGAATCTATAAATGTCTTTTCATTACATCCTTTTCAGAGGATGTAATGCCCTGTAGGGTTGGCGATCTGTTAGAGTTGCAGTTTTGCAAATTGGAGAAGAGGGGGGAAAAAAACCCTTTCTTTCAAGCCTCTAAATAAAACAGTAAAGTCACAGAAATCTTGGTTGGGAGTGGAGGACATCAAGTCCAACCCTTCTCTTGAGCTAAGACTGTTTCCAAGATCAGGTCAGGTCTGGCACAGCTTTGTCATAAAAGCCTCTGAGCACAGAGGATTTAGGAACAATTTGGGCAGCCGGTTGCGATGATGTTAGCCCTGTCATGAAAATGTTTCCTTGTGTCCAATTTAGTGCTGTAATTCTTAAAAAAACAGACTTTAGTTCTGTTTCAGTGGAGCAGCAACAAAACCCCGTGTGCTCTGCCTGAAGTACCTCGGAGCTCCGTAGTATCCGCAGCCGTACTTGTCGCAGCCTCTTATCTCGTTTGTGGGATTCCCGGAGCATATTGTGGCCCAGCGGCTATCTTGTTGTGGAAGCGGTGGAACATCTTGGAAATAGAGAATCACATCACACCAGAGTTAACTTTTAAATTCTGTTTTATGCACTGCATGTTTGTAAGGGCTATGTTTTAACTTTAGTTAGGTAGGAAAAGACTGGGATTGCATCCTGTGCGTGTCTCATCTGCAAAGGTGAGACTGGACTGTAATGTTTCTAGATTAGGATTATCTCATATAAGAAATATGCTTTAAAGATAAAAATTCAAAATTAATATCACGATTCTTGGAGTGTAACCCGAGGGATAGGAAAAGACTCAGTTTTGTTTCTTATGTTACACTACTTATTCGGGGGAGGTGGTGGGTTTGTTTTGTTTTTTTTACCAGGTTTAAGTAGATGAGTAGGATCCGAGTGGTCACAGTTCTCAACGTGGATGTGAGAGATAATGCCAGGAAATACTTTTTGCATTGGCAGCATCCTCCCGAGAGGTTGTCCTCTCCTGATTTGGCCGTGGTACCGGGTGGGGTGAATACAGACCAGCTTCACACAGTAACCTGGAGGAGATGGAAGAGGAAGCAAGGTCAGGAAACATCAGCTGCTTCTCTTGCTGGGGTGAGCAAGACACCTTCTGTGCTAGTCTCTTGCTGGAGACTAATGACGAAGCAGAAATGTAACTGAGGTACCAAGAATCCTGAAATCAAAACTGATTGGGCTGTTACAGAAAAGAGGAAAAGAAGGACTTGGAAAATAGGGACAGGAAAACATCCTTCCAGCAAAATTGACAGTCTATTTCTGATGGTCTATTTCTGATACTCTATTTTTACTATTTCTTTTTTTTTTTAATTGTTGTTTTCCTGATACCTGTTTTTCAACTCCTCTCTTCCCTCCTCTCCAAGAAGAGCTTAGGAAAGAACCACATCCTGCTGATGCTGACTTCTGATATTTCTTAGCAGCAGCCTAGTTGTGCTTCAGTGCAGGAACTAGAGATGGTGTAAGATTAGTTAGCACTTTACTTGAAGAGTCACAGCAACCTTACTGAAGTAAATATTGTGATTGCTTGCATGTGCCTCATGACATATCCGCTGTTATTACTTGCCTGATCCTGAGATTTGGACTCCATCATCAATGGCATTTCCATTATGAAAGAATCGAATGGGTCCGGAGAGCTGGCCGCTGAAAGGAGCGTACACGGTCGCTCCGTCAGCACAGATGACATCCACACCCACATGTTTTCCTTTTCCACTGTGCCTGAAAACATAAATACGTAGTTAGAGAAGTCCATTAGGCTTAACATTATGTATGGATAGATCAATTAGCACAGTATAATATCAGAAAAAACAATTTTGCAGCTGCACTGAAATTCAAAAGAAATAGTGGCTTTGATATACTTTTTTAAAAATTGCAAAATGTTTATAGCACTCTGACAATCTTTAAAGGGGGATGAGATTTCAAATTTTAAGTGTATTTTTCACTTTCCTGAGTTCATGGAGTTTTTCAAGCTGCTGAAGTACTCCTGTTCTACCCCAAAATACGTCTGGGCTGGTGTAAAATAGAATCTTGTGTTTGGCGTTTTCTCATTTAGAAATCTGGAAGTTGCAGGACGAGGGTGGACACTTGTTATAGTGCTTGGGGAGAGGCAGTGATAGGAGAATGCAGGGAAGGCAGGAGTCATTTATGTATGAAAGAATTTTTCAGGGAAATCCAACCTGCTCTGTTCCATGGTACCTACTAAAAGATGCTGGTCGACCTTTAGCTTGTGTACACTGATCTATTTAGCTTCCCATAAGCTGTTGCTGAACGGTAGTTAAATATCTCGACTGTAAGCAACAAGAATGACACAAATCCTTAAAATACTTTCCTTTACTCTGGTTGCTAATTTGCATAATGATCTTCCTTCTTGCCCCATGCATCGGTTAATTGCGGAGGTGGCACTTCGAGGTCCCTTCCAACCCCCAACATTCTATGATTCCATGAGATTGCCAAGTTCTGCCCCAAAAATGAGTAAGGAGGTCCCGTAGACAAGTCTTCTGTCATCCTGAGCGTCAACTCTGGTTGAACTCTCCTCTTTCTCCCATGTGCACATTTAATTCAGGACAGCGTCGCAGCAGCCCACAGCTCTCCCGCTGCCCCCCCCGCGTTACCTGTCGGCGCCGTACTGGCCGCAGCCGTATCTATCGCATCCCCGGATCTTGTTGGTGGGATTCCCGCTGCAGATGGGGGCCCAGTGCCTGTGCTGTTGTTGAGGTGGATGCGTGTCCAACTCTTTGGTGAAAACTTCAGGTGCAAAAGGGAAAAATAGGGGAAAATTAAACGGTATTCTTAGCACAGTACCAACAGGAAGAGTCAAGGTGCAAAAGAGCGTGTTTAAGGTGGAAGACGTGAGATCGCGTGAGATCATAATTCCAGAAACTTAGGTAAAAGAACAATGTACGACCTACTATATAGACTTGATGCTTTTTACTTGAGATCTTATTTTAATGTATGTGCTCTAAAAGCAAAGCTATAGCTAATTATTTTTAATATTAGTTTGTGAAATAAATCAAGCTATTTCCATTTCCTTCACGACTCCCCTAAACACTTCAATACATGACTCTAAATGCACACCTAATTCCATATTTTATAATAGTCACAACTGTGCACATGACCATAATTCTTCATAAAGCTAGACTGAAAAAGCTTAGCATTATTTATAGTGGAGCAAATTTCAATAATTCATTAGTGTCTGCCTGAAACCAGTCAAGACCAACTGCGATACAGTAATCTCAACTCACCAGTGGACACCAAGCTGACCAGGGCAACCAGGCTGAGAGCTGGCATCTTGTGGATGTTTCACCAGTGTTCTTCGATTGAATCAAAGACATCGAGCAGTGGCTGCCTGGGGTATTTATGTGGTTTTGAAAGCCCAATTCTGTTGCCTTGGCCAATCAGTCTTGAGCTGAAGTATTACAGCTTCAGGCAGGAGTTGCCATATTAGGCACTGAAGCCGTCTACAAACTCTTAACGGTTTTTAGGGTTAGGAAAGATGGACAAAATAATTGGTCTCTTGGCACACAGTAACAGATGGAAATGAAAAATCCCGCATTTCAGGAAGCTCTGGTTGAACCGTTTCTTAACACCTTTTCTTCCTGCTCCTTGAAGCACGGGCACACTTAGGCCAAAAATGGTGGGAAGCAAGAATATGGACCAGAGGATTGAGTTGGAGGGAAAAGACGGGCAGAACTCCAGGGTGGATGTAACTAGTTTGTCCTTAGTTGCTCGTTCCTGTACCATGTCCCCCAGGTGTATTGTTCCCGTTAGAGCTTTCTAACAGTGACAGAGAGCACGTGCAGGTGTAATGTCTGCTGCAGCACCGGTATTCACATAGCTGAAGAAATACAGATGCGTTTGCATGGAAACGTGTCCCTCTTCCCGTTCAGCTGAAATTATTGCCTAGCCTGGACCTAAATCCATCAAGTTTTTTCACAGGAACCCCAGCTTTTGGCAGCTAAATTCTTACTAAAACTTTTCTGAGTTCTGAAACAAACAGCTGCAAACCTAAGTTTCATGGCATAACTGACAGGGAGTTAAAACCCCCTGGGTTTTAAAAGGATTCGTGTAGAATCTGCTTGATTTCAGCTACTGCACTGTTAAGCAGGCTCCTTAGTGTCTCTTTTAATCCTTCAGTTTGATTATTTTGTGATACTTAGAGGAAAACATTAGATTTATTTTCTTTTTAGTGCCATATCTTAGTTAATATGAAATATAAATAAGCCACGGTGCTTTCACATAAACTATCTGATACTCCAAGTTACAGAAACCTCTGGAAGTCCTGCAGGTTTTGTTCAGAGGAGAAACAGATGTGTTTCTGCCCCACTTCTAGTCTGCAAAGAGCATCTGTACATTGTGTTTTCTGAAAATTTCCATGGAACAAGCAGCTGGAGACAGATTTTTCACTTGTGGTTCCAAGCTTTTTTTCACAGCCAGTACTTAACCTCCAAACAAACTTGTAACAACTCCAGGGAGGGCTAAAAGTGGCTTTGCTGATTTTACCCCTGCTGCTTTCTTTCCTATCCTGCCAGAAAGATCTGCTGGTTTTCACACTTGCAGCCACCAAACAAATATTTGTATAAATGTTGTGTCCCCTCAGGCTAGTTTTGATGGGCCTTTTGGTTGTAATTTGCTAGTATAATGGAGTCTGAGCTTCTGCAAGGTGCTGCTAAGAGCTCTCAGTGGGTATTCAGGAGGTATGCAGGATTTGGGGATGCTGCTTGACCCTTGGACTGAAAGCTAGGAAATGTGGATTTATGTGATCCTTGCTAGAAACAGCTTTCATCACTGCAAGCTCTTTAGTAAGTGGTTTTTTCCAGCTTTCCAGGCTTATTCACCTTCATTTGGCACAAGACCTCCACTAATGCTCTCAGGTCTCCTTAGCGGACAGAATAGCAAGGGGAGGTGGTGTGGGTGGCATCTTTCAATGAAAATATCATAGCATAGGGGCAGTAAAGTATTTCTGAGCTTAGCTAGCTTGGTGAACTTTTTTTCTTATTGGAAACAAAGCCATTTAAAAATAAAGGCTTCACTGAGTGACGACTGGCCATTCCCAGTCGAGGGGTCTCCAGCAGGATTTCTACAATGATGATCGCTCTCAACCAAATAGTGTTTCGGATTTATTCCTGGCTGCCATTTTGCACTAGTGGAGTTTTAAATATCTCATTATATGAATTTTACCTGGGGCAGACTTGCCTTGAAAAACTAACAACTTTTATAGGCTTCTGTGGACTTACATGCTCCTGATTTTCCCAAGGAAGGAATTGCAGCACCTCAAGCCACTCCACAAAGTCTTGCAAAGGAAAGGTTGGGTGTAAAGGCAGCCAAGCTGGTGGGCACGAGGAGAGAAATACAGCTGTGTTAAAGGTGCACACACACTGAAGAAGCTTTTCTCCAAGCCATGTTTTGCAGTCTGGTAATTTTATAAAATGACTCTAAGCTACCTGTTCTTTGCAATTTCTGCCCCTCCCTCCACGTCTTTTGTGTTACAGAGATGGTTCCAAGTCACTTGTAGCTGTGTGTGTTTTTTATATTTCCTCCATGAAAGATCTTTACACCACCTTATCTTACTCTGTTCTTTCTAAAACATGTCAAAATGTCATTTGCCACAATACTACGCCTAATGCACTTCTGGTAAAGTGTTCTTAGCACAGCTGTTTTCAAGTGTATGATATCGCAGTTGAGTTGTCTCTCTCTGTTCCCCATCTTTCACCTGGGGTATGAGGAAGCTCTGAACTGAAGCTGGTGGGATCCCTGCGTTGGGCAACAGAGATGTTCATGTAACATGTTGGTAGGTGCAGTTGTGAAAGACACGAGCTGGCCGCTTAGCACACACTAACAGAAGGATACAGAACAACCGGCCGTGTTGCACAGCCCCTGGGATCCCAGTTGCACCATTTCCTTCCCAGCACTGGACAGCGGCAAAGGAGAAGGGACTGCTGCCAGTTTCCAGGGCCTTTGGATGGATGGTACCTGCCATGCATGTGTCCATAAAGCTTGCAAACGTTAAACTAGATCCTCTTAATGTATTTGTCGTCTTAATAATATCTCGTGATGAGAAATGTCAGGTGGTAAAATGATGGAATAATGGTTTTTGTTGAAAAAAAGCCAGAAAACTGTGAGACACACATGGGCAATGGTAACGGACCCTTTGAGGAGACGCATCAGCAAAAGCCACGACCAAACCATGAGCCAGAGCAAATCCCACCCCCTGGCCATGGCCAGCGGTTTCCTTCCAGCTGTGCTGCCACCCTCCTGCAGTTGCCCACAAGCGAGGGCTCATTTCTCCATCGTTTCCTTTACAGACATTTCAGCGTGGTGGGATTCAACCGACGTCCAAAAACGGACGATTCTGTCCGTGAAGCCCTTCCTCTTTGTAACCTCTGTGCGGCTGCAGCCCCAGCGAATTGGAGAAATGAGAGGTGCACATCTTCCTCCTGGGTAATGTTACAGTATCATAACTGGAGGTTTGCCAGGGTTGTCAGCAGGCAGTTGGAAAGGTAAATCCTCTTCCTAGATATATTTTATAGAACAATTGGCTTTGTCCTTCTTGGCTATCCTGGGATGTTCAGTGTGGGAACAAATCAATGATGAGCACTTGCTTTCCAGCTGATCCGTGTACAGCGTGGTATTAGAGAACCTTAAAAGCTCTTTGGCTAGAAAATAAATAATATTCTTTGTGCTTATTAAAATGAAATTATGATTTAAAAACTAACTGCAGGAGAATTTACTTGTGCAATTAGCAGCACAGGCTTTCACGGTCAAAATCAACCTGGCACAACGTAAACCAAAGTTGCACTCACTATTTATTCAGGCTTCTGATCACTTGGCAAAGCTTGAGCTAAGAGGAAATTTGCCACAGTGATTAATGGAGCTTCGCGTACACGGTTTCTACTGCAGTATCGCTGGAAAATCAGCAGGTTGTGCTAGCTGATCAGCCGAAAGGCATGGCTGGGCAGAGCATCTTGAACAGATAGCAGGCTGCAGACTGTCCGAGTGTGTTGCCTTTCTTCTTTTCTAAGGACGAGCTGAAGCTGAAGTTGTCCTGGTGCACGATTCTGATTGAAGACTCCTTCTCAAATTTATTTTGCCTTTATTAACACACTTACTAAGCCTGAGATAGGCAGGTTTTAATGGGAAGGATTGAGGAATACAAAATGAAATCTTTTTGCTACCTCTGTCCTGTCCCACGGGGAGGACAAAGCTTTGGCTGAACCCTCCAAGAGTCCTTTAATGCTCGGGGAAGTAAAAGGGTATAAGGTAGATTTGGGTTGCAGCTTTAGGCAGTTAGTCTGGGATCTTGTGGTGCAAATTTATAAAATAAAATGGATAGCAAGGGAAAGGATCCCTGCAGAACTGGTGCAGAAACAAAGAAATTCTGCATGGCCCAAGTTGCTAACTCTTGCCTGAAAACCTGGTTACCACATCCCCCAGCACCCTTTCCCCTCATCCTGAATATTTCTAGAACTTTACTTTTTTTTGAATGTTTTCTAGAACTTTACTTCATTCCCAGAGTCAGCTACAAATTCTACTTCCCTTTCCTCTACAGCCGGTTACTTTTTTGCTAGACTGAAAAGATAAAGCTGGTTTTACTTAGACTATTTACTCCAACTGCTCTGTAACCTCTACCAGAAGGTGGTATTTACTTTGTCTTCTCTTCTGCTGGGTGAGAGCCCCAGCTAAAGCTGGAAGGTTTAGGGTTCATCCTGTACCTCTCTCAGGCACGGGCAGGAGCATCTCACGTTCCTGCACCAAAGCTCTGCACCTACCTGCGCTGTCGGAAAAGCTCCAATTAATTAATAGCCCCTGAAAAGATTTGTGAAACCAGTCTGTGGGTCACACCAGGAAAACCATTAAGCTAGAGGCAAAAATGTTACTTTTTGAGGAGCAAAGCGGGAGACTCAGTCTTTAGTTAGGATTTGGGTGTAGAAGTGAGGTCTTGCTCAGGACCTTCCTTTTTCAAGTATGAGAAGTCCATAACTGTCTTAAAACCTGGGATTTTTACAGAGCGAGACTTAGGTGGGAGTTCTTCTTTTCTGTGGGCAACTAACTTCAGGAAAAAAAATTAAAAAAATTTAAAAAGAGGTGAAAACTGGAGAATACCCAGGACTTCTGCTGAATTGTTTCTGCTTTTTAGGCTGCAGCTGTGTTATAAATTACGTGAGCCTGCAGCACTCATCGAGCAATTTAGCCCTTGAGACTCCCGGTAGCAGGTTGGTAGCATTGGCCTCAAAAGCCCTGTCCTGTGAACAAGAGCTTGTTCTGGGAAAGTTGTCTTCAGCTGACTTATTAATGGAAAGAAATGCTTCACTTGGACAAAAAGAAACCTGAGTGTGCCAAGGGAGAAGTCCAGGGAAAAGGAATGAGTTACTTCGTGAATGTTGTTTAGTTTCTGGTGATGAGGCCCAGGAACGATTCGGTTTTCAAACTTCATACATTTTTTTTTTCCTCTCTCCCCAGCTCCATGTAAAAATCAGAACCCAGTGTTCTGTGACGGCGCCAAAGAAATTCAAAGCGATCTGCAGTGAAGCAGCCCTTTAATGTGATTTTCCATATGCAAGCACAAGTGAAATTTCTGGCTTATTTGAGGAAATCTTCGTGTTTGGCTGCAAAGAGAGTGAAGAAGTCGAAGGTGAGTGAGCTGTGGCTCAGCTCACTGTGACACTGCTGAGCGTCGAGGTGCCTCCATCCCCAGCCTCTCCTCCCTTCCGCGCTGCTTCAGCCTCCTGGAGGGATGCAGTGACGGGCAGGATGCAATCAGACCTTTAAAGCATGATTTTATACCTCACTCTGTTTACCTTCAGATAACCACCAGTATTTTGTTCATGGATGGTTTTATGGTAGAACAACTGTCGGAAGCTCAGTGGCTTCACCTTTACTAGAGTGACCACCTGTGCCCAAGCGATTTAATGAATATACAAGGTGGGGGGCTGAAGGGTTTGCCTCTGATGTGCAGCCTCTCCTTTACAGGTAGGGAGTAGGGTCTGTTAAGTCACAGTTTTGGATGTGGACGTGGGATATAATTCCTCGGTAGACCCTTTGCATGGGCAGCAGGACACCTATTTTCTCTCCCTTCTTTATGGGGCCGCTGTACTTGATGGGTTTGATGTAAAACATCTTAATGCAGAATCCTGTTAGCAGGGGAGAGAAAAGAGGATAAACTGTTGTTCTTATGAAATGGTTTAAAAGCCTGGCAGAGTCCTAACATTCAGCACCAAACTAAAAATGACGATACAATAAAAGAGATTCAGAAAGAGGAGAAGTTACAGAAAATGTTGTGGTGCTCTGACAGCATCAAGAAGAGAGAATAGGAGAAGAAATAAACATGGGGGAGGGTGAGGAAGAGGATTAAGGTGGGTAAAACTGCATCAGTAAGTCAGAGGCTGTTCCTTGAATTATCCAAAATATGCAAAGGGATCAGCTTCATCCTTTGACTTTTTTTAATAGATGTGAAATGCTGTAATGCTTTCAAATTGATTTTCCTGCATTAAGAGAACCTGGATTTCGAAGCTGCAGTTTGCAATTGGATTCACGTTTGAGTTGGGTTCATGATTTTTGACTCGGTTTAAAGCTCTGTAAATGAATTGGAACATTTTGCAACCAGGCTTTGCAAAAAAGTGTAGTTTGCGGCTCTGGTACCTGATCCTGAGAGCTGGACTCCATTGTCGATGGCGTTGCCGTTTCCGTAGGGCCTGACTTGTCTGTTGATATTCCCCGTGAAGGGCGAGTACAATACAGAGCCATCCTGGCACACCACATCCACTCCCCGGTGCTTCCTCCCTCCTCTGAAGAAGAAGAAGAAGGTGGGTTAGCCTGCGGCAGAGCACCTTGCCACCTAGAAACCTTCCTTTTACCCATTTTCTCGTGCTTATTTCTATTTTAAGAACATTTCAAGTGCAGCCATCTCCCGTCACCCCTGCCCAGGACCTGGGGTCATTGTAGCCACCGCAGCCATGGGAGTCACAGCCTCTGATTTTGTTTGCAGATTGACTTGAGCAGATTTTTGCCCATTGCGCTGCAGCAGCTAGAAAACAAGGAAAGAGAAGAACAGAAAATGAAACTCACAAGTTAGAAAGGGGATTTCGCAGCCTGTGTTGCTTAAATCAATATCAAGGTCCCTTTGGACTTTGCTGTAACCATGGATCCGGCTTCAAGGAATTACAAAGTCATTCATCTTTTAATGCAAGTTCATTTTAAGGATGCAGTGAAACAGCATTTTGTTTGTTTGTTTTACGCTTTGTCCAGTGACATCTGTAAGCACTTAAAGCAGCGACTTCAAAGAAAGAATAGATCTGGAGGGGACATCATGGAGTGACCCACTCCTTTCCCATTGCCCAGGGCAGACGTGTTGCCTTCACGCGACAGGTGTGGGACTAGAGCTCCAGGATGTCTCTGCCAGGAAGGTGACTTGAGCCACCCAGGATCTTGGGATACTCAACTGTAAAAAATGGGAGAGACTCACCAAGTCCTTTCCTATTCCCTAATGTGGGATCCAGTCAAAGATACAAGTTGTCATCTACTTTTTCCTAACTGCATTTTCCATCTCCCCATTTATAGGGCAGAAAGGCAAGCCCTGGCTTGGTACCTTCTACAAGTTTCTAACAGCCCTGCTCCCCCACAAAAAAAACCCAACCCTAGGATTTCCCACAGGACGCTTTAGCAAGAATGGAGCTGCTCTAGCAAGGAGCTGAGATTTATTCATGGGTGCCATCAGCTGGGCCAGCACTGTCCCCATTGGGCTCTGAAAACACAAGCAAAAGGGGAAAAAGGTGTGCTGGCACGGAAGGTCAGGTGCTAAAAGGGTGCAGGAAACCTCTAATGCCTTCCTCAAGTAAAACAGCCCTTTGTTCTAGGCAGTCTTCATTTATTTTAATGAATTGTGTATTCTTTGTGAAATCACAGGTGCTGACATTAAACATAGAAACATCTCCAGGAACACTCTATGCCTAGTGGGCTGATCTTTAAGTAGAAGGATTTTAAGAAAACATGCATGCTGTTAGCAGTTGCTGTGCCTCAGCCGATTCTTTCTTATTTGTTACTCCAACAAAATTTTGCCACAACTCTTCACCATATCTAAAAGGGATTTTTCTCTGGAGCTTTCTATGCAATGGTGGAGGGATTATTTTAAAAAGCAAAAAATGGCAGAGAACAAATCAGTTCCCAAATCTTTACAGATACTTCATTAAAAAAACAAACAAACCACCGCCAACAACAAAACCCACAAAAAACCCCAGAGAAAGTAAAAAGAAGGCAGGTTACAATGAGCAATGCTCACTAAAATTCAGCTAACTCACCACTGGAGATGGCAATCACGAGGACGACTGCTGTGACTCTGTGCATTTTCATGTGCTTTGAGAGCTCTGCTTTCAAAGTGAAAGGTCTAAACCACTTTGCCTTCTATTTATACATCCCAGCAGAGGCTGTATCCCAATTTTTCCAGCCAATCAGAAGATTTGTGTGGCCTCAGTTCTTTTGCTGGCAGCTTCAGGCCAACAGCAAGAACTGAGAGCAGCCCTCGAGGTGTCCCACCAGCCTGGCTAATTGGCTATGCAGAGGCTCTAACTTAATTGGCAATAGCAGCTACATTGTTTTGCTTGGTTTTGTTTACAACGAAGCCATAAATATCAAACCCAAATTTTAAGGACAATTTGTAACTTTCCCTGCCTGTTGCACAATCCTGAAGTTTAGCGAGAAAACTTGGGTGGAGAAGGAGAAAAGAGTTCAAATGAACTTAAAAAAAAAATATCTGGGCAGATGGATACCTTGCCTGACCACCATGGCTGTTGCTTCATGGAAAGAAGTTCAGCCAGGTGGACACAGCTCTGTGCCACGCACCACATCCAACCTCATTCCGGAAAAATCTGATTAGGCAATCTGTGAAATGAGACCCTTGCACCCCGTTTTTATTTGCCAGCTTCGTTAATACATCCCAGATATTGCCACATCGCTGACGATGAACCTTCGGTGTTAACAGTGGGAGAGACACATGTTTACAATCTTCGCTGTGCCTGAGTGGAAAATGTTATAAACCCTATAATATTGTGGCTGAGCAAAATTACAGGAAATCGAAGAAGAAGAGAACACTGGAGCACGAATGAGGCCACCTCGAGTGTTGTTTCTGGGAAGGAGCTGGAAGCCGTTTGTCTTCTCGGCTATTTGGGCGCCCGGTCTGTGCCGCTGGGAACCAGTGACTGTTTTGTTTCTCTGTGCAATTGAAAACTGAGAGCTCAGGTTAGATACCGCTTCGGGTCGAGGCTCTCAGCCAGGATGCTGTGCCCTCGCTGTCTCTTTTGTGGCAATAGGTGGGTGAAGACTGGCCTTGGGTCCCAAAGCAGAAGCAAGAGCAGTTTTGCTGCACGGGATTCACAGCCCATCTTAGCTGGAGCTGGAATGTGGATGGATGTCCCTGAGCAGAAGCTGTATTTCATGGCACAAGAAAGTGATCCAGATGGCTTCAAGATGTGTGTGCTGTCTTCTCCTTTCCCCTTCTCCCAACTATGTCACTTATGTCTGTCATACAGTAAGTGACAGGTAATAGCTTGGCTTGGACAAAGGCAGCACCTGAACCCCGCTGAAGCCTAGCTGCAGTGGGCTTCATGGCCTGGTGGGGACCACGTGAGATATTTCAGCTCCAAATGACCCACCACACATCAGCAACATGCTACAGGAGGGGTTTTAAACCTGCTGCCACCTTCCCACACCCCACGCTCCCTGCATGATTTTGGTTTTTTCTCCAAAAGAAGCACTTCTGGTTTAGTGTTTTCCTACTTGTCAGATGTCACATGCAGAAAGGGGAAAATTCTGTTTGACAGTAGCATTTTGAAACAACATGTTTAGACAAAGTATGTAGGGGAAAAAAATGATGGTACCCAGCTCTCTGCGCAATGCTTCTTGTGCCCAGGGCTCAGCTAAACCAGTCCAGATACAATTGCATTATCTTCAGTTCATTTTGTTAATTACTAATTTTGTTAGAGACCTACCAATTGAAATCAAAGAGGAGAAAAGAATGAGAGAAGCAATTATTTCCATTTCCTCAGAAGCTCAGAAAATGAGCTTTTCTTCCCTAATTCTGTTACTAACAAATATCCTGAAGGCCAGATGCTTTCCCAAGTTCAAGCTGCACGCTCAGTTTAGTGCTGCGGAAGTGAACGTATCGTGGTGAGACGCAACAGGAAAACCCACCAGCTTCAAGGGCGTTTTTCCAACACAATGGGGAGGTCTCTTGGCTGTTGGCCCATGCCACTTCCGATATTTTTTTGACCCGCAGGGGAACAGCCAAGCCCTGCTCACATCCCACACTGGCGTCACCGATACACTTGGCCGTGCAGACTGCAGAAAACACGCACCTGCTCTTGTGCCACACTGGGAAATTTCCGTTAAGTGTTCTTTGGAAATCTGGACTCCCAGGTTGCATACTGGACTTTTAATAAACTACTGCCTTGCTGCCACTGCTGAGGGAAGACGGGAAAACTGCAAAGGTCTGCGAAGCCACCACATTTTTTGGCTTTGTTTTGATTTTGCTAACTGAGTTGAGAAGTTTTTGCTGAGCTGATTGAGTGAATTAAACACGGTAAAGGCTAAATTATTTGCTGGCGTTTTACGTTATACGCCAAGGTAAAGATCAAGGAGGTAAAGAGTGAGGGGCACAGGTTTTGTGTGAACTGCACGAGAGAGATGGATGCTTCGCTCGCCAGCTCTGCACCCAGCAGGGTCATTTTACAGGGGTTACAGCCTTATCCTGTGTCTGAATAACATGCCGAGGACTGAAGCAATGCCTGTCATCTACCAGTTGCTTCATGTTTTCTTTGGTACTAACTGCAGCGAGGAAGCCAAAGCTCTGGGTTTTTTCTTTGCAGAAAGGTGGCAGCAATTAAAATTACTTAATTTTGCATTGCTGGCAGATGTGTGAAAGGGTTAAAAAGGGGGAGAAAAACCAAGGGAAGACCTTATGTGATGCAGGTAGTGAAGAGTTCCTTCACTGAGGAGGTAATGGAGGAGCTTCGTGGGAGGTAAGTGAGGTAGGACAGAGCTTTTTTTCATCTCACGTGGTGCTGGGAGCTGTGGAGAGATAGAGGTAGGAAAGGCGAGTCTCTTTAGCGGTAGCTGCAGAGGCTAGAGAGCATGTAGGGGAGGAAAAAAAACCCCAAACCACAAAAAACTCACCAACACCACAGCTCTGTAGGCTTTGCAGGGTCCCCTGTGATTTAGGAATACCCATGGTGCTGTGTTTGGAGGTGAATAAGTATCAAAATGGTAAACTACGCCACAGCACAATTAAACATAGTTCAAATGAGATTAAATTTAAAAGACAATGGTATTAAATCCTGGCTCCAAAACTCATCAAACTCACTAAAAGCAATTTCCAAAACTATAATCATGCTGGGATCTAATAAAGTTTTCATTAAAGAGAAAGTGTTTGACTCAACCTGTCACTTACCAATACGAATGTTTAGTGGTTGTTTTTTTTCTTTTTCACTGTATGGAGAGGATGCAAATAGCTGTAACAGTTTCCTTTCTGTTTTACCAAGTACCAAGGCATGACTGAGTTTGTTGGCAACGCTCTAAAGGCTGTGAATTGCCAATAAACTTACTCTAAAAATGCTTTTTACTTTTCCCTTCCACCACTCAGTTCTGAGTTTTTTGGGAACATGGGTACGCTGAAGCTCACAGGCTGGTCTGGTGTTTGCTTTACTGAAATCACCCAACATGTAAACCCAACACAAAGAAGCCTTTTTGCTTTCTTCTGTTCAATGGTTCGTACAACCTGAAACACTCAAATATGCTTGAAAGACCTTCAGATTCAAACAGTGTGAAATCCCTGGGCATGGGTAGATTGCGGAGGGCAGTTACCTAAACGTCAGTGTTTGGAAACGTCCAGGTTTTGCAAGACTCTAGTTTAATATCTAACATAAAATTAAGGGAAGTAAGTCCTGAGGCACAGTACTGCAGGTGTCCATTATCAGCATCCTACTATTTGTTATTTTTTTTTCATTTTATGGTGGCAAATGCCACGCATGAGCCAAT